ATAAAACTATGCATCTTTCATGGTTCTTTTTTCTAATACGCCATAACATTTTGATTGATTACACAGTGTAGGCTTGGGAAAAATACCCGGAACTAAATACCCGAACCGAAAAATTCGAACAATACCCGAACCGAACCTGAATCCGATTTTTAAAAATACTCGAATGGGTCCTAACCTCCTACCCGAAAAAAACCGGAACCGAACCCGAACCGCATCCAATACCCGAATGTCCTGAATACAAATATACACCTAAAAATATTAGTTATTTTAATATTTATAATACCCGAAATACCTAAAATTACAATCATAAATCCGAATATATTAGGTATTTTAGATATTTTTGGTTATATTTGGGTAAAGAGTAACCAATGTATTTTCGAGAAATTGGGTATTTCGGTTAGATTTGGGTATATATGAGTTAAAAACCCGAACCCGATCCGAACCCGAAAATATTCCGGATATTTTTGGTTATTTTCGGGTATTTTGCTTTTTTTATTAAAATATCCGAACCGATCCGAACCCGAACCGAATTTTTAGAATACCCGAATGGGTCTTGATCCCCTACCCGAATAGACCCGATACCCAAAAAAAAAGAACTGAATCCGAACGGGTACCCGAATGCCCAGGCCTATTTAGTACACTGTGGTGTTAATAGATTGGGATATTCAAAAGCTGTTCCATGAACTATTTGTGCATGTCACGTTGTTTATTAACGGAATATCCAGAAATTAGTTAAGAAAAATAGTAACTATTAGTTTTTTTAATATATTCAATTAAAGATCCTCTTGCTTAATGTATTTTAGCCTTTGTGTTTGTACTAGAGAATATCCTTCTTCTTTTTGTTATATGTCATCCATAACCATTATACATAGACTTTATTTTATTTTTTTTAAGTCCATAGAATTCACTTATATCCAGATTTTATCTCTATACTATTAAAAAAAAAGTACAAATAAAAATGGATCGGGTTAAAATCAGAAAATTGACACGAAATTCTGAAATCGGATCTTTGAAATTTTTTTGGAATATAAATTCGAATTAATAATGAAAAATCGAAATAAAATCAAATATTTATGGAAATCAAATAAAATCTGATTGTACTTATGGTAACTAATAATAAAAGCATATTTCAAACAATATTATACATTAATTACATATAATAAATTTGTTCATATATTTTTGGGACTAATTCCATAACAATCAACGTTTTTGTCATTAATTTCGCTCATTTTAGCCAATTATCATTAATTGAAAGATATTTTACTTGCTTCTAAAGATTTCTAGAAAATTTATCACAAATAACCCATCTATTTTATAAATTAAATTGATATTTTTATTTTGGTCGTGTAAATTAAATAGATATTTTTATTTTGGTCATGTAAATTAAATAGATATGAAATCCATGTAACTAATTTTAATTTAATTAGATTAAATCGAAATTATGATATTTTCATACCTATAGCTTACCAAAGAAGTTTAATTTTCAATTTATAAAGATTTCTTGAATATGATTTTAGAATTATTCAACAAGATGATAAGTATTTATTAAATTTTGTGAATCATGAAAAATAATAATTAATTTTTAATCATTATACTTCATCTTTCAATCTCTCATCTAACAAATAAGATACATATTCTATTATTACTATGTCCAAACTTCATTTTGTTGTATGACTAAATAATATTCCCATTAGAACTGTCAAAGCGAGTTGATTCGTCCCGTTAAGTCCGTTTTGCGATTGACAAAAAATATTTTGACTTGTAGTTAGTCGGTCCGCACGACCCGCATGTAGCATATATGAAATACAAACCCGTCCCGCGAATGTATGCGGATTTGCGGGATTGTCCATGGATTTTGTTTAAATAATTTTAAAGTAACCAAAATTTAAAATACTACTAAAATAAATAAATAAATCAAAATACTATTAAAAGTTTGTTTAAATTACCACATGTTGAATAAATTATAATTTTATCAATAAATACTAATATGCGGGCTGATCCGCCAACCCGCGGATGAAAACCGATTATACCTATGACCCACTGCGAATTAATCCATGTGGTCCGCTTATTTGCGGGTTTAATATATTTTCCCAAATCTGCCCTATAGTGAGATGATGTGGGCTGGACCCGCGGTTTTTGACCTATTTTGACTGCTCTAATTCTCATGAATCGTCTAATTTTAGAATTTTAAAACACAAAATTCTATTTTGTAAATCATAATTATTACGATGGGTATATTTATAAACAATTTTACATTTTCTCTACAATTCGTTATTATGAATATTTATAAGTATACTACACGATTCGTTCTACTAAAAAACACACACAATATTAAACACAACATATGTAAACCAATATTCTCCCGCGGTGGACCGCGGGTCCGATCCTAGTTTAACTTAAAATTTAAGAAGTTATCATCCAATGTAGGATCCATCAGTCACATATATTCCCACACAATATTTTTTATTATTATTAATCGATTGCTCTTTTAATGTCAAAATCAAGACTCGCTGATAACTTGGTTTGTATTGAGAAATAATTCACGACTTTGATCAATTTGGTAAAACCCACTAAATTATGCAAGCACACTTTAAATGATTGTTGCCTTTCTTTCTTTTTTTGAATTTGGTTAACATGTTATAATGATAACATATCCCACTAAATGATTGTTCCTATATGATGTAAAAATCAGCAAATGTGTGATCCCACTAATTCAAATGTTTGTTGTTTGGGGATTGGGATAACTAATCAATCTAAAATCTTTATTTGCTAGGATAGTGTTTAGCATATAAGAGACTAGCTTTATATTGATGAAATCTATATATTTTATAATTATAAATTCTCCTTCTTCATATATAATACACATATTCGAATCTAAGCATTTTGTAGGATGTCAACACCGAATATTTCAAGGAGAGAGTGTACAACTCAGAACAAACGTTAAAAACAAAAGACAGAACAAACGACGTTGCTTGGATTTCGAAAATAAATTTGCGCTCTTGTTATTTGGCTTTTCTTGAGCCATAATAATCGGACTTGGGACGACAAGTATGAGACGACAAATGCATTTCTTTCGTCTTATTGTATATAAATGATTCATCTGTCCATTTCTCTTCACAGTTCACATTTATTTGGTATACAATTTTCTTTTTTCATTTACTTTTTTTTATTGTTTCATTTTTTATGCATTGCTTAAATTACTATTGTTTTGGTTGACCTTGAGTTTTGCAACTCTCGCATCTTGTAAATCCCATTTGATATTTTGGGCTTTGTAGCGAACATTATTACATGGGCCTCTAGATCTTTAACGTCTGACGTCAAAACAAAACATTAACAGAATTTTACAAAAAGTCTCAACTACAGTAGTCAAAACTCAAAAGTAAGGAAAAGTTGAAAGAAACAAAATCTAGCTTATAGCAGTTTCAATAAAAATAACTATAAAATTAATCTTAACATTTATGGATATGTAAAATTTTAAAATACTACATCTTTCAAAATGAAGGAACTGATTTTTTTTTTTTTGTCATCCGAAATTAATTAAAGTTCAAAAGAGGCATTCCTGAGGAATGTTGTTTACATACGTGATATGAAGCGGTTCTGTACGAACTTTTCGTGCCAGATTATCCGCTTTAACATTAGTACTACGAGAAATTAAAGATAAAGAAAAAGATGAAAACTCCTCCTTGTCGCTCTGTAATTCCTCCAAATACACTGAAAACGCCGGCCATTCGGTTGGAGAAGACACCATCTTCACCAGGTCTGAACAGTCTGTTAAGAACGCTACCTCTTGATGATCTGCACCAATCATACACTTCATCGCCCAGAGAAGGGCCTCGACTTCGGCATGTAGTGGAGATAGACTTCTACGGAGGTTCGCAGCTCTCATGGTTGGCGGCTCTCCATTTGATGATGTACAAAACCACCCTGTACCGGAGAACTTATCACTTCCTTTCCATGATCCATCCACAAAACAACGGTATCCAGAATAACTCGACTCAAGTAAGGCATCTCTCACTCGAGTTCGATTCACCAAGTTCATAGAACCATGATTTTCATTATGGAGCTCAAAATGAGCTGACTGCCATAATTGTGCTTCTTTTTCCGCTAATCGTAATACCTCTATTGGGTCTTTATCTATATTTTCAAAGATCTTTTTGTTCCTTGCTTTCCAAATATACCAAATAATCCATGGGAAGGCTGATGAATCAACTTCCGAAGGTATTCTCCAAAATAAATGATCCAAATTCGCAAAATTAGATTCCGTTGGAAAAATCCCCATAGCCGTAGGAATCTGTGAAAGCGCCCATATCATCTCTTTGTGCCAGAAGTAATTCCGATTTTAGTTCCTCAATTGTTTGCCGCCCATAGGGAGTTAAATCTTTCCTCCACTGCGAAATAGCCCGCCTACAAGTAGTCAATTTTTCCACAAATTTTCCTTCTCCTAACTCAGAGTTAGAATTCCAACCATTTGAAATTGCCTCCAGTAATCCTTCCTTCCCAATCCATCTTTTATCAAACCTGAAATTTCTTTTCCCACGTGGGACCTTATCCATGAGCGTAGCTACCACCGGTGAATGGTCGGAAGCTACCATTGGTAAATATTCAACGAAAGAATTGCAGAATAATTCATGCCAATCTTCGTTTGCTAAAGCTCTATCCAACCGACACCGTATTGGTTTCTTATCCCGCCAACCCCGCCATGATAACCAATCTCCGATATATGGAAACTCCAAAAGACCGCAATTTTAAATCATTAAATTAAAAGGGATAAAAGAAGATGCATGTCTTAAATTACCACCTCTTTTTTTCGTGATTTCCGGTTAACTCATTAAAATCTCCTATTAAGAACCAATGTGTGTCTCTACTCAAACCGATCCGTGTTAACCGTTCCCAAACTTGATCTCTATTTTTCGGAACCGGATCACCATAAACGAAAGTAAGATGTATTGTTTTTCCTTTTATCACCGCCTCAACATCAATTAATCGATTACTTTCATAAATAATTGAAACATTAAAATCATTATTATAGTAAAGGGCTAAACCGCCACTACAACCGATAGGATCAACCGTTTTTAAATTTTTGTAACCAAAATGACCGATAAATTTTTCCATAAACCAAGAAAGTTGTTTTGTTTCCGAAAGAAATAAAAAGTCTGGCCGGTGTTGTTTCCATATATCCCTAAGATAACCGATAGTTGCCTTATTCTCAAGTCCTTGACAATTCCAACTCAAAACCTTCATTTATCAGCCTTGTGTTTTGGTGGGTTGCGTCCACCCGTATAGTCCTTTGCCATGCCATAGTGCGTCGATTTATGGCTTTCATTCCTTTGATTCTTCTTTAAAGAAACCCAATCACAATTAAATCTAGATATTTTAACCCTTCTATTATCCACAACCAACCATAAAAAAACCGGAAATCAAACCATAGTAAAACCGTTTGTTACAACTACCGAAACTCAACTCCATACACTCAAGATCAGATCGGGATCTACTCAATACCGCTGTTAATTGAGATTTCGTTTCTCTCTCCGAACCTTGAGTCAACCTTGATAATCCAAACCAGATCCCCATCGTGAATGTAGGAGTCATTCCCCATATTGCACTAGAAATCACCATAGACCGTAAATTGCTATCTACTATCTGTGTCCAAATCAAATACCAAAATTCCGATAAAAAATACAATCGATAATACTTTGCCGTAATCTCCGTCACCGAGATATCAAACAAACAAAACATAGGATAACTCATTCCTTTTATCATTGTTATTTCAAAAGGGCAGACGAAATAGTATGCAAATAATATCTGAGGTTTGAGACCAGCAAAATTGACTAAGAAAATAACCTTACAACAAGCTCTCGACATAACCGAGTGTAACAAAGATGTCATGTCCTGCATTACAGGGTTCATGTATCTCCCAATCAGACTCTTTGAATACCCCTCGATCAAAGCTGAGTTATCAAAACATGGGACTTTAATCTTAAGCTTCAGAGTCTTATTTATGTTATTACCATGTGAGCCCTTTATAACCAAACCGCTTTGAGACATCACTCTCCCCAATTCAATAAAAACCAGAATATAACAAGCCCAAGATATAAACACTCTCAGAAGAACCAGCCGAAACCTGAGACTCAAGCCTAAAAATGGGCTCTCAATGCTTTGAAATTCTGAAGGTTTGATGAGATAAGTAAAAACATTAAACCGTGATTCTATTTTATAGGCAACCAGCTTGTAGTCTGCCACTCCTCTTTGTGTCTCAATTGGACTGCCCTCAACGACTAACCGAGAAACATCAGACCGATTTCCAACCGAATTAAATTCCCCAAACCGTAACCAATTCCCGTTTTGATAAGAGATATTCACCGGAAAATTCTTTACCAGATCCCAGAGATTGTGAAAGAAAATAAACATGTAACTCACCGAAGATCTCTGAAAGAGACCAATAAACAAAACCAGATGATCAAACATCTCATACCCGATGGAATCCTGAAGCCATTGCCGCCGTTCTTTCCACCTCAATACGCACCGATTCATAGCCCACCACTGGAGAGAAGCCAAATAAACCACACAATACCGCCTGACCACAATCAAATCCACCATAAGAACCCAGAATAAACGTTTATTCTCCAACCCTACCCATTGGGAATTTTGAATATCGAATGAGAATCACGGTACCCTCTTCAACCCACCATATAAAAATCACAACCACCGCAGTATCCGATGGAACCGAAGGCACTTCAGATCTGACCCGTGGGAAGCCCTGAGAATCAAACCACCCACGAAGGGAAGCCACATCCCTGCTACTAATCCACCGGAGAGAAACACCAACCACCATAACAACCCCTTTAAACAGTATCACCGGAAGAATCAATCGCATTGTTGGGTTAAAACCCTAGCGTCGCCGTCACCATATCTCGAGAGCGTTTCTTTTTTTCACGTTACCATGAAGCTATAATAGTTTGAAGCAATAATTCTTTTTGAAGGAACTGATTATTAAGTTGGAAATTCATGTACATCCGACATAAGTATATTATTATTAGTAATCATCATCGTGATTACGAATAAAAAAATTCAAAAGGGAACCCATTGAATGTTTTTGGTGTTTAAAATTGAAATCTTATCTGTAAAGCATAATAATAATAAATGAAAGAGGCGACAAAGTTGTAAATTCGCACAAAGATGTCAAACCTTATCTCTTTCTTTTCACGACAAAACACAACCAACGGATATTATTTAGAAGGTACCTAACCTTGTACGTATCGTACTCTTTCACTTCTTCTTTTTTTTTTTGTCACTAATATTTATTTATCGAACAACGGAGGTATACAAAGCCGGCGAGTATAACGGATTCCCGGAGCCAACAGTCCCATCTTGAGAAAACATAAGAACTTGAAACAAACTTGAAACTACTAGAAAATATAAATAAACCAAACAGAGAAACTACTGATCTAATTGCAAAAGCATCAACTATCTAATTAGTCAGAATTCTGAGATTGGAAAGTAATCCAAGACGTCGAAACCCGAAAACCTAAGCATAACCTTTCAATCTTCATGTCTCACTTGCTGATTAGTCCACTTCGGAAGTGCAATAATGAAACTCCATTGGACCCTAACCGTTAAGCCTCGAATTTGTACAAAAGGCTGTAAGAGAAATCTTGCCAGGTGATGTCGAAACCATCGACTTTACTGGTGAAAGGAGTTCCAAACCAAGACAGATCTCGCCCAGATCTGAAGGGAGAATCAAGTGGAGAAACCTAAGAGATGGCTGTATATACCGCTTCACCAACCACAATAAAGACAGCTGGCATAGGACCGATGCAGATATAGACCAAAGATTTCCGATTATAGGAAGAAGATATTCTGCATAAAAACCAAAAGATCCCAGCCAAAGAAGGAAACAAACAAACTTAAAATCTTAAGCCGAACCAACGTTGTGGCTTTGGAAGCCCATGAACGTTGGTCGGAGCCACAAATTTGTCTCTTTCACTTCTTCTTCTTTATACTTTCTTTTCGTTATTTTTTTTTTATGTAAATTAATATACAAGAGGTAAATATGAACCTATCTACGGTTAAATAAACGTTTTATAAAAAAAAAAGATATGATGCAATTTTTAATAAAAATACAGATTCACTAGCATTTCAAAATTTTAAAGATTAAATACTATTAGATTTTTGAGCATTTTTATATATTTGTTAGATTAAATACTATTTGATCAAAAAAGAATAACTTAAATAGGATTGTAAGGATAAATATATCAAATGCAACATATCAGTGGGGAATAATAGGATAAACAACCACACAACATGCGAAAGGACACGCGTTAACGACAATAAATTATATATACTTTCGGTGTAGTTGAAAAAACAACAATATGAAACACTTGCAAATAGTTATAAATAAATCAAGTAATCGAATTTTACTTATAGCTATTTCTGGTAGTGACGTAGTCTACAAAATCACACGCTATCAAATTTAAATCTTAAAAATAACTAACCAAAATATTAGTATGCATCATTATTCATTAGATTATATATAAATTTGTATAGTTAAGTAATTTTATTCATATCATCTTTTTTTTTGTCATCCTAAATTAATTAGAACTCAAAAAAATCATTACTTATATCATTTATAATGTGTTAATTGAACAAAACAAAACAAAAAACTAAAAATAAATAACATATATAAAAAATATGATTTATTTGTATTACTATTTAATTAGATGTAATATTTTAATTTAATTGTTTTAGAAAATAATACTCGACCATATAACATTACAAACTAATCTTTGGATTAAGGAAAATCATGTTAAAATTTGAATTTCGGTGACTAATGCTACTCAAATCTTCAAAACTTTTCTCTCATTTACCATTGAAGTAAAGCGACTTGGTTTATAACATTACCACATTATTACAAGCATTACTTGTTGTAACACATGAATTCAGTTTTCCAATCTAAAAATCCTAAAATTCGGAAAGCATTCTCTTCGGTAAGGGAAAGTATATTGACTGACAATCTGACATGAGTAATTTAGCCTAACGGGCTAATGTTTTTTTTAATAATATTTTTTAGATTAACAAGGCTCGATCCATAACTAATCCCTACTACGCGGGATAATACAACTTAGTGAAGTCGAACTCCGATGGGAAAGGCGCAGTCAAATGGACCTAACGGACTAACTCTAACATTATATTTGTGATTTTTTAAAGTACTATTCATATATTTACCGTCTCTGCGAGTTATTTCACATGCCTAGCTAAATTTAGAAGATGTTGTTAATAATTGAGGATGTCAACATCCACTTTAAAATTTACGGCTGTAATAACTACTACTCCAAGAAATAGATGTAAAATTTAGAGAGTACTTGAACAAAAAAAAAAACAATGAATATAAACTAAAATACAGCTTAAAATTTATTTATTTTTACAAAAATGTAGAACATGAAAAGATCTTTAATCTTTATAGAAAAATACGAGGACTGTAAACTTGGAGCTTACAAACTGTTTATAAAACCACAATACAAAATGCAATAATTAGAATTATAAAAGAAAATAGTTGTTAATGTTGTATGACTTTCAAATATCATAAATCAATTTTTTCATTATTTATTTATTGTAGTGCAAAGCGCTTAAACCATAGAACCGTTCAAATTTTTAGTTCAAACATTCCCAAAAACAAAGGTATGATATTCTTAGGCCCGGCCCAGAAAACAAACCACTAAAGCCATCGATTTGGGCATCAAAATTTGCGGACTTTTTATCTAAAAATTTGTTATGTTTTTTTATATACAATAATTTTTGTAGGACTTTTTAAACATATTGTGGGCTTTTAGAGTCAACTACAACATTTTTTTTAATGATAAAAATCTAATTAAAAAAAAAACTTTTTAATGAGTTTTAAGTTTTGCTTGGAACATCTAAATTTACCGGCACTGGATATTCTTGCACCCATTAAAATAAAATATCTTCTAAAAAAGAAAGAAATTTTTTTTACCATCATTTTTTTTATAACATCTATTACCATTCCACTAACAAACTTATTTGGACTCAAAATAAATCAATAAAATTTCAACGGCTTAAACAAATTGTCATTATAAAAAAGAAAAAAACAAATCTATTGGTACATTCATTGTGTATATTTTTGCCAAAATAGGTGAATATTTTTCTCTGAGTAGAGAAACAAATAGCAAATACGTCTCCTTAAAACCAGCCTGACTCAAATTAAGCCATTATTTTTTTTCTTCCGTCTTTCACTCTCAGCCTCTCCTTCTTCGTTTCCTAAACTCATTTTTCTTCGCTCTCTTTAGATTCTTTTTTTCTCAGATCTCTCCTTGATCCTCTGTTTTTTTTATTCTGAGGGTGTTTTTTCGGAGAAGGAGTCATCTAAATCCTTTCAAATCTCTTCTCTTTGATGAAAAAACTTCTTCCAAATTTTCAGTATATTTTTTTTTCTGGCTTTTTTTTTTTTTTTTTTCATGGTCTTGTTGATTTCTGAATTTTAGTATATCTTATATACGATAATATAGAAAAAAAATATTAGTGTTTTTGTGTTTTATAATTTATCTGGGTCAATGATAATAGTGGTCGACGAGTCGGTGTCTTAGGGTTTACTTTTTATAAAGAATTTTTCTTGTTGAATTATTGGCTTTTCGTATTTTTGGAATTCAATTTTCTCTTATTTCTAATGCTATTTTGAAAATTTAGTTTTTATTTTGATTTTAATATTCATGTCGTAATAGAATCTGGAATGTCAGAAGAACGTGTGCAGGTACTTGGGGTTGGTGTAATAGTTTAAACAAATTCTTACAAAGAAAGAAAAAAATCAGGTTCTCTGCACCAATTTTTTATTTAGTCAGTTGTTTAATATATTTGATAAATTCTCTAAAAAAAACAAATTTGATAATGATGAAAATTTTGATTAGTTCTTGGTTGTGTTTGGTGATTGCTTGATTAAAAGTCTGATTAAATTTAGGGTTATTTGAGTTTTGTGTGTCTCTGAGATTATTGTTTTACAAGAAAAAAAAAGAGATGGAAACAAGAAACGAGACAAAAGCTTCACCGGAAAACAACCTCAGAAACAGAGGAGCTGTTGGAAACAACAGCAAGAAAGACATGATTTTTCGAGCTGATAAGATTGATTTGAAGAATTTGGACATCCAGCTAGAGAAACATCTGAGTAGGGTTTGGTCAAGAAGCATTGAGAAACACCCTAAGCCTAAGGAGGAATGGGAAATTGAATTGGCTAAATTGGAGATGAGGAATGTCATTGCTCGTGGTGCTTATGGTATTGTCTACAAAGGCATCTATGATGGTCAAGATGTTGCTGGTGAGAAATACATAAATATTGAAACTTTCTGATTGTGAAATGTTTTATGCTTAGTGTTGGTTTTGTGTTAATGGCAGTGAAAGTGCTTGATTGGGGAGAAGATGGTTACGCGACAACGGCTGAGACTTCTGCTCTACGTGCTTCATTTCGTCAAGAAGTTGCGGTTTGGCACAAACTTGACCATCCTAATGTCACAAGGGTAATAATAATAACATCTTTAGTGATCTCTCTTTTGTGTGTATGTATGTAATGAGTCTTTATGGGTAACAACAGTTTGTGGGAGCATCAATGGGAACAACGAATTTGAAAATACCTTCATCAGCTGAGACGGAGAACTCGTTGCCTCAGCGAGCTTGTTGTGTTGTTGTGGAGTATATTCCTGGAGGAACTCTTAAGCAGTATTTGTTCCGTAACAGGCGAAAGAAACTCGCTTTTAAAGTCGTGGTTCAACTCGCTCTCGATCTTTCTAGAGGGTATTAAAAACTCAATTCTTTATCTCCAAGAAAGAAACTTGTGATTACAATCATGATGATGAGAGTATTTTGTACAGGCTAAGTTATTTGCATTCGGAGAGGATTGTTCATCGCGATGTGAAAACAGAGAATATGCTTTTGGATTATCAGAGGAATCTAAAGATTGCTGATTTTGGAGTAGCTAGAGTTGAAGCTCAGAATCCAAAAGATATGACTGGAGAAACTGGAACTCTTGGATACATGGCTCCAGAGGTACACAAAAACAGAGATCACATTAAAGACAAAATGCGGTTTTTTTGTTTGGTTTCAAAATTTGATTTAAAGTAATCTGAGTAGGTTCTTGATGGTAAGCCATACAACAGAAGATGCGATGTTTACAGCTTTGGGATATGCTTATGGGAGATTTATTGTTGTGATATGCCTTATCCTGATCTCAGCTTTGCTGATGTTTCTTCTGCTGTTGTTCGTCAGGTCAGTGGAACTTTAATATAAACCGAATTCTCAATCTTTCAATGTTATGAAATTTGGAAAATTGTGTAAGTTAAGTTTGTCTCTCTTGGCATTTGGAATTTCATAGGGTTAGTTAATCTGGTTTAGTTCAGTTTTTAACTGTTTTTAGTTTTATCAGTTTAGTCGAAAACTGAATCCAAATTTGGTTCGATTTCGGTTTGATGTATCCGGGCTTTTTTTTTTTTTCTGTATGATGAGAATCTGAGACTGTTGTCTTTTCTTGAATAGAATTTGAGACCGGATATTCCAAGATGTTGTCCAACATCATTGGCGACCATAATGAAGAGATGTTGGGAAGCTAATCCAGAGAAACGACCGGAGATGGAGGAAGTTGTGAGGTTGCTTGAAGCTGTCGACACCTCCAAAGGTGGTGGAATGATCCCGGAAGATCAGAGACCTGCCTGTTTCTGCTTTGTCTCTGGTCGTGGTCCCTAAATTTACCCCCCTCTCTCCTTTTACCTTTATTTACTTACTTACCTTCACATTGAATTTTGGAGCAATGCTCTGTTTTCTTTTTTCTTCTTCTTAATATGTCAAGATAAAAAAAGGTTTTCATTATTAATATATATACACATTATTGTTATTTCTGTCACTGTGAATATGAATATTGGCGTTTGGTCCAATATACATAGGAATATCATATAACAATTTTTTGAAACGACTGTGTTAAGTTAAGTCCTCTATGTTTCCAATATACATAGAAAGTGCAAATTTTCAGGTTAAGGTTAAGGTTAAGGTTACACTTAATCCTGTTTTTAAAGACGATCATAAGTCAGAGAAAGGGAGTATCAAGAGAGGAGATATCTCAGTAGATGTCACTAGTTGGTGAACCTTCGTCCACCTCTGCTTCCTCGACCACGCGCGGTTTCCACGTCCCTTAACTGTAGACCATTGCATTTCTTGGAACTTTTGGGTTGGTTTGTTCGACCTTTCTTCGCGGTTCTTCTGAGCAGATGCATTTTTCATATCTTTTTTTTGGTATCGCGTTTTTCATATCTTGCTAAGGACGTTCTCTTTAGCTTCAATAGTGCAAACTAGTTTTTCGTCTGAACTCTTCCCTACATTTCATGTTCCTCATTTATCAGGAGAAGATGCATCTTTCATCTACAAATCCAACCAATTACATTAGATAGAATGGAAGATGATAGATTGAATGCAATAAACATGTTACTAAAAAATTATTTGGCGTATATTTATTTTTTAGTCTCAATACCACACAACTAGAATATTGTGATTTGAGGCTTGTAACTTAAGAAGCATGACTTATATTCATACTCTTTTCTGAATCTGAAAACAAAAATAAATGCACGTGGTCAATTGGAATTAGGTCGAAAGTCCAAATGAAAATTTGGTGGACAAGATGTTTTGGCCGTTTTGTTCACTCTAGAATTAGTCGGATATATCCGGATCACAGGGTTGAAAAAGAAGTTCACTCATTCCACTATGGAAAAACAAATCCACATAATTAGATGACTAATTAAAAAGATAAAATATTGTAAAAACAACGCATTCAAGAAACCTAATAAATAAGATACCAAGTATTTTAACAGAGAAATAAGTTAATTTAAGAGACAAAATATTGAGGTGTATAGAGTGTATAAACAACCTATAACGTGGCAGATAGTTTGATTGGTGATTCCCACACGGCAGGCAAAGGAGTCACATGTAACGTTGCTGTCTGATCCAAAGTTTACTCATTAAATATCCACTTACTTTTTGTTAACACAATATAATTATCTACTTTTGGTTAGTACTATTATAATTTCTCTTCAAGATAATTCGCTCGTTTTCCTCATTACAAAGCTTATAGGTCGGTACATAACATATTGGTCGATCCACAACTATATTTACCAACATACCATAAGGGATATATATGTCATTTCCACATTTCCCGTATCTCGGCCTATATATAAAAGCTTTACTAATATCGTGGAACAAGAACCATATGAATCTCACGATCAAAGATAACATCTCATATTCTTCTATATAGTACTTGTCTCGGTAATAGAGACGTACACACTTTGTTTATAGTCAAATCAATATGGGATCTTTCGTGAAAGAGGAAACGTCGTCGTTGATGACGGATTTTTTGGAGAACTGTGGCGGTTATGCGGTGGTAGACGGAGGGTTTGCGACGGAGCTACAACGCCACGGGGCTGATATCAATGATCCACTTTGGAGTGCTAAGTGCCTCATTACTTCTCCTCATCTTGTTACAAAGGTCACATATATATAATCTATGTAGAAATATTTATCGAAAAAAGTACACGATCTAGAGAACAGATTAAATAGAATCAAAATAACGTATTTGTCCAAACATATTTTAGTTAGATTCTTGATTCTATTAACTTTACAAACATGGTTTTATTTCTTTGCAACGAGTATTTTTTTTTTCCTTTTTTTTTTAATTACGTTCTATGTTTTGGATGAAACTCATATGTAAACAAAGAGTAATATTTTTAAACAGAGCTAGTCGTTCCGTTTATTTAAGTGGAGAAATGTAGATAAGAAACAATAATATGCCACGTTGTAACTTAGTAACGCTGCGCCGCTAACGTGTACGTCATACCACACGACGTTTACAAGATTGTCACTCCAGTTTTTTAGTTTGATTCACAATGGCCTGACGTGTAGAGTACAATAATAGCAGAATTCAAAGAAAACATAAGAAAAAAGGAACCATACAAATTATAAATATTTTAAAGAAATTTAGTAGATATGTATTTCTTTTTCTTTATTTTTAGTTTGACTAGTTACTTTTCTTAGAAATAAAAGTTTTTTTTTTCTACTTTTCTTTTTCATTGTTCCCATCGATTTTTTTACCTTTTCCAGCTAATTAGTAGTAAAAACTGCATCAGAAATATATAATTAATAACATATAAGAAATATGTTTGTAACATATAATTTGTTTTTTCTTTTAATAGGTGCACTTGGATTACCTTGAATCTGGAGCAAATATCATCATTACAGCATCTTACCAGGTAATTTGGCCTATTAACTAAAGAGTTTGATTGGTTTGGTTGCCTGAAGTAATTGTGTGGTAAAAAAAAAAAAATTAGTTTCAAAATGCATCAAAGTGCTTAAACAAATTAAATTATTACACAGGCGACGATCCAAGGATTCGTAGCAAAAGGTTTATCGGTGGAAGAAGCGGAAAATTTACTTAGGAGGAGCGTTGAAATCACGTACGAAGCACGTGAGATATTCTACAACAGATGCACCAAGGGTTCATGGGATTTCGCCTACGCCGGAAAAGCTTCCCGGCGACCTATTCTTGTTGCAGCTTCCGTTGGTAGCTATGGAGCTTATCTCGCTGACGGCTCCGAATACAGGTTCTTTGATAATTCCTAGTCGTTTTGTTACATTTGGGTTCAAAATTGGAAATGTAATGTTTTGGTCTGTTAAAGAAATATAATTTCATCCCTCGTGATTGTCCTGCAGTGGGATATATGGAGATTCTGTGAGTAAGGAGACATTAAAGGACTTCCATAGAAGAAGAGTTCAAATCTTAGCAAACTCTGGAGCCGATTTCATCGCATTCGAGACTATTCCAAATAAACTCGAAGCAGAGGTATCTATTTTTTTCTTTTTAACTAAACCAATAAAGTGACAATTCCATGGATTCTAGTGGTCAAATTTTTAACTAACTATTAAGTAGTTTTAGTCCAATGGTTGCATTTTGGTGGTTCCCTTGTAGTTGGTACATGATATAAGTGTAGTCTAGACTACCCATACATATATGATAATTTAAATATATCTTTTTAATAATATGTATACGTTTTTCACGTATTATAGGCTTATGCGGATCTTCTTGAGGAGGAAGACATCAATATTCCGGCATGGTTTTCGTTTACTTCGAAGGACGGAGTCACTGTGCCACGAGGAGATTCGGTTGTAGAATGTGCGAAAGTGGCAGATTCTTGCAAGAAAGTGGTGGCCATTGGAATCAATTGTACTGCACCAAGATACATACATGATTTAATTATCTCCTTGCGTCAGGTAATTATAAACAATGGTGGAATTAGGTTGTTTTTCTTTTACTCTGTTTTGTGCCTTGCGGCTGAAGCAACTGGTCATTTCTTTTATCAGGTGACCCGCAAACCGATCGTTGTGTACCCAAATAGTGGGGAAATCTACGACGGTCTGAACAAGAAATGGATTGTGAGTGTTCTTTATATGATTATCAGATTATATCAAATGATAATAAAACACAAATTACAAATCTGATTTTGGAGGCTTTTTATGTATTAATGCAGAGGTCAGAGGGAGAGTCAGAGGAGGATTTTGTGTCGTACGTGAGTAAATGGAGAGATGCAGGAGCATCTCTGTTTGGAGGATGTTGTCGGACTACTCCAAACACCATCAGAGCCATTGCTAAAGTTCTCTCCGACGAATCTCCCGCAACAGCAAAACCCAAATTCCGGCAGTAGATCTTGTCAACGGTGAGTTTCTATACTTTTGATGTCAGGAAGGAGTTTGAGATGTAAAATAACGCAAGTGTAATCTACTTAACTTTTATATGTAAGTTAGGGTGTTTAATCTGTGCTTTTTGTGGTTAAGAGTATGATAGATAATATGTGTATTGTCTCGTTGGGGCATTAAGCGATAGTATGATGTTGATGTAAGCATATTTCTATTACTGTACTGTAAAAAAATGTAAAGGTGATAAGTTGTATTATTGAAAGTGATGGAATAAACTTATGTGTATGTGGACATTTCATCTTTGACCTGAAATGAATTTTCAAGGATCATTGACATTAAATGTGGGTGGAACTAGAGATTTTCGTTTTAGGGTAAATCACTTATCTTATGTAGATAAAGAAATACAATCTAAGTGATAAATAAACTCACTAGCATCATATGGACTAATAGACACCAGTTAGGTTTAACCGGGTTTGCGAAATTGGATCATTGTGAAAAAATAGGTATAAAAGAAGGTTTATACGGCCACTCCTTTTACTCTCTGCATTCCCCAGAATCCACATGGTAATATCATAAGCTTTTGAAGAAACTGAAACTAAATTTCCTCGTAAGCAAGCTATGAGGAAACAAAAACAAAAAGTCCATGGTACTTGGCTTTTATTATATATACTCAACTTTTCTGTTTTGACATGGAAGCTCACCAACAAACTGGGTGATAATTATAAATTTATAATCAAAGATAAAGAGAGGCTAGATATGAGAGATACCTTGTGAATCTCCATGATTCTTGTCTTCTTGAGCTCCTCCAAGAATCAAATCAATACAATATATATGCTTCTTCCTTTTTCTTCCTTTTTATGTAAATTTTTTTTTGACATTATCTTTGGATCGACAAAGCCCGATCCATAGCCAATCCCTACTACGCGGGGTAACGCGACTGAGTGGAGTCGAACTCCGGTGGGGAAGGCGGAGTCAATTGGACTTAACCACTTGACTAAAGGCACTTCCCCCTTCCTTTTTATGTAAATTGAAAAGGAAAAATTAGTAAATATAATTTCACTAGATTACTAAGTCTATAAGACAAGATTAGTTCAGGGGCAAACGTGAAATAAAAAAGAAAACCCTAATTTCTAATTTCTACTTACACATCCCTGAGTCGCTTTCTTTGTCACAATGATGTCTTATCTTCCACCGGATTTGGTAGAGGAAATACTCTCTAGGGTTCCGGCGACATCTTTGATACGATTACGATCTACTTGCAAACTATGGAACACTTTATTTAAACACCCAAAATTCGCCGAAAAGCAATTTCGTAAAGCACCAAAGGAGTCTTTTGTTCTCATGTTGAAGGAGTATAGGGTTTGTCCAATGAACGTCAATCTCAACGTTTCTCCTCCACATATAGAGTTTAAGGGTGCACTTGCCCTAAGTAATTATCCTTCTAATTCAGAAGAGGTCTATATACATGAAGTTTTTCACTGCGACGGTTTATTGCTATGCAGAACCATGGACTACAGACTCGTGGTTTGGAACCCGTGTTTGGGAGAAACAAGGTGGATCCAAACCGAAAAAAAGTACTCTAGGCTTGCTCTAGGATACGAGAAAAACAAATCTGGCCATATCTACAAAATCTTGAAGTGTAGGGACAATATACCATACGGTCAAGTTGATGAGTTTGAAATATATGATTTTAGCTCTGATTCATGGAGAGTTCTTGATGTTGTCGCTTTGGATTGCTTCATACTATCAAGTATTGGCGTTTCTTTGAAGGGAAATACTTACTGGCGTGCTTTGGATAAAGTAAACTACTATCAGTTCTTAGTCAATTTTGATTTTACAGCAGAGAGATTTACACGTTTGTGTCTTCCGCCATTTCAGAATGTTCGTAAGAAGAAGGTTCTATCAGTTTTGGGAGGAAAACAACTCTCACTGTTATGTCAAAGGGAGAGTCCATTAAATATAATGGATATATGGGTGACCAATAAAGTTGATACTGATATTGAAGCTTTGTTGAAGTGGAGCAAATCTTTTACTGTGGATATACCCATTCCCAGTGATTATGGTCCGTTTTCAATGAGTTATCTAATCGACGAGGAAAAGAAAGTGGCTGTGTGTTATGATGAAAAATTTGGGGAAACCAGCAAAAAGGTATACATTATTGGAGAGGACAATGCATATTACACATAAATCCCTTCTTTTGAAGAATCTACTAACAAACTGGAGTGGTTTTGTCCAACTATTTTGAATTATGTTCCAAGTTTGGTTCAAATCCAAGGTAGATGAAAGAATGAAACTAATCCTCTGTTTTTTCTTTTCTTTTCTCTTCGTTATTGTTTTTGGAAACACTATTGTCCGAATAGTTTAACAAATTGATCAATTAGTTTTTCTTTCTCTTTTGTGGATCTCGCTTCTCTCTCACTCAACCGCAAATGGTGCTAAATGATACTTTTCAATTTCTCATTCTTGGCTTAAACGGGGAGATGTCACACTTAATGTTTGGTATACCTAGGTGAGACTTGGTCCTCAAGCATGGGCTCAAAACTTGGACCGTTTAAGTTAGCCAACTTGAGCAAGTGTACTGGTGTTTACGAGTCAGATTCGCCTGAGGGAACGTTAGCTAAGGCTAGCTCTGCATAAATTTTATATTGACTAGTTTCAAAAACCGAGAACCATGCCGGAATGTCAAATGAGGAATAGGTTTCAAGGATATAGAATTGGGCATTTTTTTGTAAAATCTGTATCCATCAGATTGATTATATATTTATTAGAGCAAACTGTACAAAGCCCAATAATATGATCCATTACTAGTCTAAAATTCAATTCTTGATACATATGTGACTTTTTTTTTAATATTTTTTCATAATTAAATTGGCCAGAAAAAAATAAACTCTACTTTCTAGTTTGAGAGACCGAGTGCGAGTTGCTCTCTTTTTCCTTGGGAGATTATGATGTCCGATCTTCCTTTGGATTTGGTAGAGGAAATACTTTCTAGGTTCCAGCAACATCTTTGAAACGGTTACGATCTACTTGTAAACGATGGAACGCTTTATTCAAAAGATTTACCGAGAAACACTTTCGTAAAGCTGCAAAGGAGTCTATGGTTCTCATGTTGAAAGAGTATATGTTTTTTCCAATGATCGTCGATCTCAGCGTTGCTCCTCCATCTATAGAGTTTAAAGATGCACTTGGCCTAAAGGATTCCCATTTTAATTCAGAAAAAATGGATATAGTTCGAGTTTTCCACTGTGATGGTTTGTTGTTATGCAAAACCAAAGACAATAGACTCGTGGTTTGGAATCCGTGTTTGGGAGAAACCAGGTGGATCCACCGCAAAACTATTTACGAGAGTAACTCTTGGTTTACTCTAGGATATATCCAAAACAACAAATCTTGTCGTAGCTACAAACTCTTGAGGCGGTTTAGTAGTTATGATGAACCACGGTTTGAAATATATGAGTTTAGCTCTGACTCATGGAGAGTTATTGATGACGACGATCACAACTGCTGCATAATTATAGGACATGGCGTGTCTTTGAAGGGAAATACTTACTTGTTCGCATTTGATGTTAACGAAAACTCTAGATTTTTACTTATGTTTGATTTTACAACAGAGAGGTTTAAATTTCTGTGTCTTCCGAATTTCCAAGATGTTGATAACATGGTTCTATCAGTGGTTAGAGAAGAACAACTCTCAGTATTAAATTGGAGCCGTACTACATCAAAGATGGAGATATGGATAACCAATAACATTGATACTGAAGCTACATTGTTATGGAGCAAATCCTTTGCAGTGAACGTAGACACTTGCCGTAATTACTTTCGAGTTTTCTCGAGTCTATTAATTGACGAGGAGAAGAAAGTTGCCTTGTGTTGTAATATTAGTGATGATGAGACCAGCAAGAACATGGTATGGACTATCGGAGAGGACAATGGATATTACAGAGAAATCCCTTATGTAGAATCTACAAACAAAACAAGTTTAAGAAATAGGAGTCCATTTATTTTCAATTATGTTCCAAGTTTGGTTCAAATCGTGTAAGGTGTCCTCTCTCTTTTCTTAGTTTTTTGTTTTTGTTTTTGAAGACAATGTCGTTTGAATAATTTAATAAATACTTTTTGGTACTTTATGATTCCTTCCTTCTTTGCGTTAGCTTGTTTTTAATCAAAGATTTTTTTTTACATATATTTGATCCGATGATGATGTTTTACATTAGGAGCTTTGATTACAAAAGTGACGAAATTTTTAGAATTGTCCATACTGAATCTGTTATTGTCCAACAATGGCGATGTCAGGGAATGCTCTTCACGTCTCTCCAATGATGTTATCCACCTTGACTTCGATACCGTTTCTTCCAAACCAGAGCGAGCGCACGTACGGTTCAATGGCACAACTATTGCATTAAGTCGTTTTATGATTCATTTCTTCTTTGCATTACATTCAAGTTTATTAGCTAAAAAAAACAACTGTTTTGTAAATTTAGTTACTCTAAAACTGTTTTTGTTACATTCGAGACAAATTAAAAATAAGCTTGAAGCTGAAGTATATAACGTTTTTTCATAAATTTTGACTATTTTAAAGGTTGAGGACAATAGTTTGATTACTCCTTATGCGGATCGTCTTGAAGAGGAAGGTGTTGAAATTCCAACATGGTTCTCCCTTGCGAGTTGCGACCATATAAACGATGATGAAATTAGGGCATATTTCCTCTGTTTTGTACCTTGCGAAAGAGGCAACTATCTTTTTCTCTTTCGCAAACTGGTCATTGTCTACCCAAATTAACAGTGGGGAACAAGAATGGATTTTGATGAGTGTCAAACTTAATAATTATAACAGATTAAAAAAAAATCTGTTTAAGTGTTAATGCAAACACCATCAGAGCCAATGCTAAAGTTCTCTGCAGCGAGGAGTCTAAATGTGCAGCAAGGGTTATGGGCTTGGGCCTAAAACCTCCGATATATTAAGACAAACGTGTTTGAAAAAGAAAAAAAACCCTACGGCCGAGTCGCTTTCTTCGTCGTTGGGAGATCAGATCACAAATAGAGATACAATGATGAAGTCTGATCTTCCTTTGGATTTGGTAGAGGAAATACTCGCAAGGGTTCCAGCCACATCTTTGATACGACTACGATCAACTTGTAGACGATGGAACGCTCTATTAAAAGACCAAAGATTCACTGAGAAGCACTTTCGTATAGCTGCTACAAAGGACTCTATGGTTCTCATGTTGAATGAGTATAGGGTTTGTCGAATGAGCGTCAATCTCAACGTTGCTCCTCCATCTATAGAGTCTAAAGGTGCACTTGGCCTAAAGGCTTCCCATTCTAATTCAAAACAAGTCGATATTGTCCAAGTTTTTCACTGTGATGGTTTGTTGTTATGCAAAACCAAGAGAAATCGACTTGTGGTTTGGAATCCGTGTTTGGGGGAAACCAGGCGGATCAAACTCAAAGTTGATTACAAGATAGACGGCTCCTGTTATGATTATTACGGGACAGACCGCTCCAGGTTTGCTCTAGGATATATCCAGAACAACAAATCTTGCCGTAGCTACAAAATCTTGAGGTGGTGGAATTTTTGCCATGTCAAACTAGGTTTTAAGGTGTGAAATATATGAATTTAGCTCTGATTCATGGAGGGTTATTGATGACGTCCTCTATAGCCCCATGCTATATGGCTATACTAGTGTGTCGTCTTTGAAAGGAAATACTTACTGGCTTGCTGATGATGAAAAAGAAGGGTGTAAACTCTTACTCAGTTTTGATTTTACAGCAGAAAAATTTAAACGTCTATGTCTTCCGCTATTTCAGAATCATGGTCGTGTGACTCTATCAGTTGGTAGAGAAGAACAACTTTCAGTGTTAAATTGGAGCTATAATACATCAGCGATTGAAATGTGGGTAACTAATAAAATTGATGCTGAATCCGAGTTGTTGTGGAGCAAATCCTTTACAGTGGATTATCCTAGTGGCCCTAATTTTGCTGATATTTTCACGACTCTATTAATCGATGCGGAGAAGAAAGTGTCCTTGTGTTCTAATATACGTAGTATAATTACCACCACCGAGGACCTATCGGAGAGGTACTTGGTATACGTATACACTATTGGAGAGGACCGTGAATATTACACGGAAACCCTTTCTATATCAGAAGCCGATTTGAGTGGAGAATACTGTGGCCCGGATTGCTGGCCAGTTATTTTCAATTATGTTCCAAGTTTGGTTCAAATCCAGTAAGGTAGAAGAAAATAAGCAAGTGATTTCTTGCACACACCTCTTCTTCTTCTTTTTTTCTTCGTTTTTGTGGGTTTAAAGACCAATGTATACCTTAATACGCATTGTTTCTAATTTACTTGGGTTGATTATTGTTTAATCGTTCGTGTCTATTTAACTTGTTTACGTTTCTGAAACTTTTTATGAAGAAGATATTGTCTCGAGATACTTGTGTTCTGTTCTATAACCTATTTGTTTCTGAAGACAATGTCTTTGAATGATTTAATGAATATTTTTTGGTACTTTATAGTTACTTTCTTCCTTGTGTTGTGTTGTACAGTTTTAGTTTTGATTTTGACATTGTTATTTTATCAAAAACTTCACAAAAATCTATTGATCCAATGATGATGTTGATTACTTAAGGTGTTTCAAAGTGACCAAAGATTTTATTAATTGACGATACTGAATAAGTAAGAGCCAACAATGGCGATGTTCGGGAAGTTAGCTACCTCAACTTGGAGACCGTTTCTTCCAAACCAGAGCCACAACGTGGATCGTCATCTCCGATTAATTCGTTAAAGATGAACGCATACAGACAAGTACACGTTTTCCGTTTGGATTGAGATTGTCGACGTAGCAAATATATCTTTTCATAATGATCGTTTTGAGGAGGAAAGCATTGATATTCCGGAGAGGTTCTCATTCACTACCAAGGACGGAGTCTCTGTGCCACGTCAGTGGCAGATTCATTCATAAACAATGATGTATGAATACTACTCAGAAATCCCTTGTGTAGATTCTACTATTGGCGTCCAGTTATTTTCAATTATGGTCCAAGTTTGGTTCAAATCCAGTAAGATAGATGCAAAAGAAAAGAAAGAAGTATACTATATAGGGCTGGGCATAAATACTTGTTATTCACCTTGTACCCGCTACTTGGCTCGTATTCGTCTTGAAAATTCAAATACTTGTTATAGTCAAGTCAAGTAAGAAGTAGGTTAATTCTATTACTTGCAAGTAAGGGTCAAATATCAAGTATCACAATTTTTTTCTGATACTTGCCCGTTTTGATACTTGCCCCGTTACTCGTCCCGACTCGTTATCTCATACTTGATACAATAATTACTTGAACGTATTGTGACTTGTGTTCCAAAAAAGAAAATGTGATAATTTGCGATTAAGTCATTAAAGAATTGCAAAACCATTGACGAACTCAGAATGTTTCATAGTTCGCTCACGAATCAAAGCGATGTCTCCGCTTTAACTAAGCTTGTAGCACGAAGTTGCGAATTGGGTACACGTGAAATCTTGAGCTTTGCTAAAGAATTGCTAATTTGGTTATCAAGAACTATCCACGATTTGCTTATCCCCTTGCGACTGTATAAAAATAATAAATTAGGGCCTTTTTTCCTCTGTTTTGTAACTTGCGACTTAAGCAACTAGCTTTTTCTCTTTCAAGATGACCAGTACCGGTCATAGTTTACCCAAACAATGGGGAAGTCAAATAGTGTATGATGGTCTGATCAGTAATGGATTTACGAGTGTTTTTTGATGATTATAACAAACTAAAAATCTAATTTTCGTGGGGTTTTTTGATGCATTAATTAAAAAGAGAGAATCGGAGGAAGATTTTGTGTTGTCCGACTATTCCAAACACCATCAGTCATTTGCTAACAAGTTTTCTGGTGTCGTGGAGGAGTTCGAATGTGTAAATCGGCCCAAGGATTATGGGCTTCCACCTAAGACCTCCGGTTTATTAAAACAAACGTGAAAAAAAAAATCACATTTGTGTGGGAAGTCTGGGCTTGGGTTTTGGCCCAAGCAATTCACATAGTATCCGGGATTAGGCTAACTGGATACCCCAAGATATTAGTCGGAAAGCATTCCAAACACGGGGTTAGGCAGTGTGGTAATCCAACACCTAGGTGTTGGCGACGAGTCCACATGGTAGCACTTCGGTGCGTTTTCCCGGGCCTGACCGGATCAGCCGATCGGATATATCAAAAAAAAAAAAAAAAAAACCAAACCCTAATTTCTGTTTACAGGGACGGCCGAGTCGCTTTTTTCTTCGTTGGGAGATCAGATCACAAATAGAGATACAATGATGATGAAGTCCGATCTTCCTTTAGATTTGATAGAGGAAATACTTTCAAGGGTTCCGGCGACATCTGTGAAAAGGTTACTATCTACTTGCAAACGATGGAACGCTTTATTCAAAGACCAAAGATTCACCAAGAAGCACTTTAGTAAAGCACCAAAGGAGTCTATGATTCTCATGTCGAAGGAGTATAGGGTTTTTCCAGTGAACGTCAATCTCAACGTTGCTCCTCCATCTATAGATTTTAAAGGTGCACTTGGCCTAAAGGATTCCCATTCTAATGCAGAACAAGTTGATATAGTCCAAGTTTTTCACTGTGATGGTTTTTTGTTATGCACAACCAAAGACAATAGACTCGTGGTTTGGAATCCATGTTTGGGGGAAACCAAGTGGATCCAACTCAAAGCTGATTACGTGAAAGACGGCTCCAGGTTTACTCTAGGATATATCCAAAACAACAAATCTTGCCGTAGCTACAAAATCTTGAGGCGGTGGGGTTGTATGGATTACGAACGGTTTGCAATATATGAGTTTAGCTCTAACTCATGGAGGGTTCTTGATGACGTCTTTCTTGGCTACGTCATACAACGTAAAGGTTATAGTAGTGGTGCATCGTCTTTGAAAGGAAATACTTACTGGGTTGCGTCTCGTAACATAGACAAGTATAAATGTTTACTCAGTTTTGATTTTACAGAAGAGAGTTTTAAGCATCTTTGTCTTCCACCATTTCAGAATCACGGTTGTGTGACTCTATCAGTTAGTAGAGAAGAACAACTTTCAGCGTTAAATCGAAAATATGATGGATCAAAGATAGAGATGTGGGTAACCAACAAAATTGATATTGAATCCGAGTTGTTGTGGAGCAGATCATTCATAGTGGATTTACCTACTGTCGGTAATTGCTTTAATATTTTCACGAGTCTATTAATCGATGAGGAGAAGAAAGTGTCCTTGTGTTGTAATTTAGGTGATAAATTGGTATACACTATTGGAGAGGACGGTGGATATTACACAGAAATCCCTTATATATCAAACAGTCGATGGTGGAGTTATAGCATAAAATGGCGACCCCTTATTTTCAATTATGTTCCAAGTTTGTTTCAAATCCAGTAATTTAAAAGAAAATATGCAAGTGATTTCTTGTACCTCTTCTTCATTTTTGTCTCTTCGTTTTTAATGGGTTCAAACTTCAAAGAACCATGTATACCTTAATGTATGTTATATCTAATTTAGTTGTTTACGTTTATGAAACTTTTATGAAGAGAAAAGTGTTATTTCTTCCAAACCAGAGCAAGCGGAACAAAGCCACAACATCGTTTTCTTCGATTAAGTCGTTGAAGAATTGCAAAACCGTTGACGAACTCAAAATGTTTCATAGTTCGCTCATGAATCAACGCGATATATCTACTATATAACCAAGGTTCTAGCACAAAGTTGTGAATTGGGTAACTAGTGAAAGCTTGAAGAGGTAGGTATTGAGATTCCGGTGTGGTTCTCGTTCACTTCCATGGATGGAGTCCCCTTGCGACCATATAAACAGAGATGAAATTAGGGCATACTTCCTTTGTTTTGTACCTTGCAACAGAGGCAACTAGCTTTTTCTCTTTCGCAAACTGGTCAGTGTCTACCCAAATTAACAATGGGGAAGTCTATGGTGGTCTGAACCAGAATGGATTTATGAGTGTCAAATTTGATAATTATAACAGATTTCAAAAATCTGACTCCGTCGACTATGAGTTTTCTATTAGTGGTCATGCCCGTCGGGGTCGTAGGCCGAGGCGGTCTTGGGCACACTTACTAGTCATTTGATGAGAGCTAGTTTTAGACTCGCTATATCTTCTTCTTAAGCATATATTTGTTTAAGTTTACTCTTAAGCTTCTTTGTCTCATTCTCATACTAATTAAACTAGATGCCCTAGACGAAAGTCATAGCCTTGTTTTACTAGTTAGTATATCAATACAATTTATTGGTGACATAAATATTTAGTTTTTTTTATAGAAATTTTGATGTAACTATCAATTCCAAAATAATTCATTATCCTAAATATTTTTAAGCAATAATGAATATTCTATGATTCTGTTATAACAAAGTTTATCCCTGAAAAATACTTTTATAATATTTACAGAGATTTGTTTTGTTAAATCTTAGTATATAAGCAATAAAAAATCTTTATCTACAATAAGAAAAAGATTATAATCATAATTTCTATTATATTTGAATTTTATTTTAATTTAAATCTTGAAAAATATCATATTACATATGAAAAGTGTAGTTTTCAATAAAAAATATTAAAGGGTGTATTTTCAAATTATAATTCATAAAAAGGATAGTTTTTTTTTCAACCCCAAAAAATTAAGTAAAATTAGTAAAGAGAATCCACAAAAGAAAAAGGATATAAATACTAGGAGGAATCGTTTCTCGTTTCTTTATATAAGACAAGGTTGGTTCAGAAGTCAGCTTTCTTATTTCTTGGGAGAAAGGTGGAGGAAACAATGATGATGTCCGATCTTCCTTTAGATTTGGTAGAGGAAATACTTTCTAGGGTTCCATCCACATCTTTGAAACGATTACGATCTACTTGCAAACGATGGAACGCTTTATTCAAAGACCAAATATTCACTGAGAAGCACTTTCGTAAAGCACCAAAGGAGTTTAAGGTTCTCATGTTGAAAGAGTATAGGGTTTGTCCAATAAGCGTCAATCTCAAAGTTGCTCCTCTATCTGTAGAGTTTAAGGGTGGACTTGGCCTAAAGGATTCTCATACTAATTTAGAAGAAGTCGATATATATGCAGTTATTCAATGTGACGGTTTATTGCTATGCATCACCATTAACAACAATAAAAGACTTATGGTTTGGAACCCGTGTTCGGGCCAAACCAGGTGGATCCAACCTAAAACCAGTTATGAGTGGGACTCTATGTTTTCTCTAGGATACGAAAAACAGAAATCTGGCCGGAGCTACAAAATTTTAATGTATTGTGATGGTGACGATTACTCTCCACACGGACGAGTTAATGAGTTTGAAATCTTTGAGTTTAGTTCTGATTCATGGAGGGTGCTTGATGATGTCGTTCTCGAGTACTGCTCCATTCTATCAATTATTGGCGTCTCACTGAAGGGAAATAGTTACTGGCTTGCTTATAATAAAAAAGACAACTATGATCAATTCTTACTATGTTTTGATTTTACAGCTGAGAGATTTGAACGTATGTGTCTTCCTTTGGTTGTTGGTCGGATGGCTCTATCAGTTGTTGGAGAAAAACAACTCTCAGTGCTAAGTCAGAGCGATAGTACATCAAAGATTGATATATGGATAACCAATGAAATTGATAATGATATTAAAGGTGTTTTGCAGTGGAGCAAATCCTTTACAGTTGATATACCCTTCGGCGGTTATAATTATTTGTTTTTCTTGAGTTTTTTAAACGACGAGGAGAAGAAAGTGGCCTTGTGTTGTGATAGAAGTTGCCAAATAGGCAAGAACAAGGTATACATTATTGGAGAGGGCGATGAAAATTACACCGAAATCGTTTATGCAGAATCTACAAACAAATTGTGGTGGCATCCATTTATTTTCAGTTATGTTCCAAGTTTGGTTCAAATCCAGCAAGGTAGATGCAAAAGAGAATAATGATATTAGTCAATCCTCCTCTAGAGGATCTTCGTTTTTTTGTTTTTAAAGACAATGTCGTTTAAATAATTTAATGAATACTTTTTAATTCTTTATGATTCCTTTCTTCTTTGCGTTAGCTTATTTTTTATCAAAGAATTTTTTTTTACATATATTTGATCCGATGATTATGTTTTACATGAGGAGCTTTGATTACAAAAGCGACGAAATTTTTAGAATTGTCGATACTGAATCAGTCAAGCAGGGAAGTGAGCCTAACAATGGCGATGACAGGGAGTGATCTTCATCTCTCTCTAATGCGGTTCAATGTCACAACTAAACTGGTCTGAACAAGAATGGATCTAACGTACGTTATCTCCCACAACATCTAAAATATTTATTAAAAAAAAAATCCGGTGTTGAGGAGGAGTTGAAATGTGCGGACTTCTCGGCCCAAGGATTATGGGCTGCGCCATAACAACCTCCAGTTTATCAAAGCAAAGATCGGTTTATTTTGTGGAAAAAAAAAAACCAAAACCCTAATTTCTGTTTATAGAGACCGAGTCCCTTTCTTAGATATGATCACCAAATAGAGAAACAATGATGATGTCCGATCTTCCTTTGGATTTGGTAGAGGAAATACTTTCTAAGGTTCCGGCGACATCTTTGAAAAGGTTACTATCTACTTGCAAACGATGGAACGCTCTATTCAAAAACAAAAGATTTACGGTGAAGCACTTTAGTAAAGCACCAAAAGGAGTTTATGGTTCTCATGTTGAAGGAGTATAGGGTTTTCCCAGTGAACGTCAATCTCAACATTGCTCCTCCATCTCTAGAGTTTGAAGGTGCACTAGGCCTAAAGGATTCCCATTCTAATTCAGAACAAGTTGATATAGTCCACGTTTTTCACTGCGATGGTTTGGGTAACCAACATCAGCGTTAAATCGAAGCTATGATGGATCAAAGATAGAGATGTGGGTAACCAACACAATTGATAATGAATCTGAGTTGTTGTGGAGCAGATCATTCATAGTGGATTTACCTATTGTTTGTAATGTTTTTGAGATTTTCACGAGTCTATTAATCGATGCGGAGAAGAAAGTGTCGGCCTTGTGTTGTAGTTTAGGTTATAGAACCTGCGGGAACTTGGTATACACTATTGGAGAGGACAGTGAATATTACACAGAAATCCCTTTCATAAACAACCATTGGTGGCTATATAGCCAAGAATTGCGTCCAGTTATTTTCAATTATGTTCCGAGTTTATTTCAAGTCAAGAAGGGTGGAAGAAAAAGAAAATAAATAAACTAGTCAAAAAAAAAAAAAATAAGCAGATTTCTAGCAGATCCTCTCTTTTTTTTTCTTTGCCTTGTGTTTTCGAATAACCAATGTCGTCTTTTGGATTGAATAAGTTAATGAATATTTTTTGGTTCCTTTACTTTGGGTTATACAGTTTTGGCTTGGATTTGAGATTGCTATTAATCAAAAATTTAAAAATCATATGATCCAATGATGATCTTAACTTGATTACAATGTGAGCAACTGTTTATTATTAACGATACTGACTGAATCAGTAAGAGCTAACAATGGCGACAAAAGCAAGTAGCTTTCTCTCTTTGGCAAACTGGTCATTGTCTACCCAAACAGTGGGAAAAGTCTATGATGGTCTGAACAAGAATGGATTTATGAGTGTCAAACTTGATAACTATAACTGATTACAAAAATCTGATTTAAGTGTTAATGCATTAAGGCATAAGCCAAAGAGAGAATCAGAGGAAGATTTGTGTTGTCAGACTACTCCAAACAACATCAGACTAGTCATTAACAATGAGTTTTCCGGTAAGTGGTCACGCAAGTCATAGAGGCCGAGGCGGTCGTGGGCACACTTTCTAGTCATTTAACGAGAGCTAGTTTTTCATTAGGACTCCCTATATCCTCTTAAGCATATATATGTAATATGTTTATTTAAGTGTTCTTAAGCTTCTTTCTCAAACTGTATGACCTACAAAGTCATAGCATGTACTAGTTACTAGCTATGTTTTCAAAATTGAATACACTTTAACAAAAAAAAAAAAAAAAAATCGGCCCAAGGATTATGGGTTTCGGCATAAAACTAAATTGGTTTAGGACCGGGGGTGAAAAAAAGAAAACTAAACCCTAATTTCTGTTTACAGAGAACGAGTCGCTTTCTTCTTTGTTGGGAGATTAGATCACAAATAGAGACACAACGATGATGTCCGATCTTCCTTTAGATTTGGAAGAGGAAATACTCTCAAGGGTTCCAGCCACATCTTTCAAACGATTACGATCGACTTGTAGACGATGGGACGCTTTATTAAAAGACCAAAAATTCACTGAGAAGCACTCTCGTAAAGCACCAAAGGAGTCTATGGTTCTCATGTTGAAAGAGTATAGGGTTTGTCCAATAAGCGTCAATCTCAACGTTACTCCTCCATCTATAGAGTTTAAAGGTGCACTTGGTTATTCCCATTCTAGTTCAGAACAAGTCGAGATAACCGAAGTTATTCACTGCGATGGTTTGTTGTTATGCACCACCAATGACAATAGACTCTTGGTTTGGAATCCGTGTTTGGGGGAAACCAAGTGTATCCAACTCAAAGTTGATTACGGGAGAAACTACTCCAGCTTTGCTCTAGGATATATCCAAAACAACGAATCTTGCCGTAGCTACAAAATCTTGTGGAGTTGGAGTAGTAAAGATTACGAATCATCACCGCCCGAAAGAGGTTTGGGGTTTGAAATATACGAGTTTAGCTCTGATTCATGGAGGGTTCTTGATGACATTAATCACGACTCCTTGGTCAAGCACAACTCCGTATTAGGAAGTGGCGTGTCTTTGAAGGGAAATACTTACTTGTTCGCGTATGATGTTGAAGAAAATTCTAGATTTTTACTTATGTTTGATTTTACAACAGAGAGATTGAAACGTCTATGCCTTCCGCATTTCCAAGATGTTGGTCACATGGTTCTATCAGTTGTTAGAGAAGAACACCTCTCAATATTACATTGGACTCGTACTACATCAAAGATGGAGATATGGATAACCAATAACATTGACACTGATGCTACATTGTTGTGGAGACTGCACTTACACACTCGCTGTAATTGTGTTCGAATCTTCTCAAGTCTATTAATCGACGAGGAGAAGAAAGTCGTCTTGTGTTGTAATGTTAATGATGATGAGACTAGCAAGAACATGGATATTACATAGAAATCCCTTTCATACAACCTAATAACATACAGAGGGTTCTACTTAACCGTTATAAAAAATGGCATTCATTTATTTTCAGTTATGTTCCGAGTTTGGTTCAAATCCAGTAATGGTCCTGTGTGTTTTTTTTTTCCCTTAAGGTATTGTTTTTAACAATGTCATTTGAATGATTTAATGAAAATTTTTTTGTTTGGTTTTGGATTGAGCATTTTTTTCTAACCAAAAATAAAAATTAATGTGATTCCTTGATTGAGGAGCTTTTGATTATAAGTGACAAACTTTTTATAATTAACGATACTGAATCAGTACGAGCCAACAATGGTGATTTGGGGAATGTTAGCAATTTCGACTTCGAAACCATTTCTTCCAAACCAGACCGAGCGTACCAAAGCCACAACATCGTCTTCTCCGATTAAAGTAGTTAAAGAATTGTAAAACCATTGACGAACTCAAAATGTGGAGATGGCAGCTGAGTGGATACAAGTGTAATCGGCCCAATGATTGTGGGCTTCGGCCTAAAACCTCTGGTTTATCAAAAGAAATATTGGTTTAGGGGCAAACGTGAAAGAAAAAAGAAAAAACCAAAACCCTAGTTTCTGTTTACGGCCGAGTCTTTCTTCTTCGTTGGGAGACCAGATGACAAACAGAGAACGATGATGTTTGATATTCCTTTAGATTTGGTAGAGGAAATACTATCTAGGGTTCCAGCCACATCTTTCAAACGATTACGATCGACTTGCAGACGATGGAACGCTCTATTGAAAGACCCAAGATTCACCGAGAAGCACTTTCTTAAAGCACCAAAGGAGTCTATGGTTCTCATGTTGAAAGAGTATAGGGTTTGTCCAATAAGCGTCAATCTCAACGTTACTCCTCCATCTATAGAGTTTCAAGGTGCACTTGGCCTAAATGATTCTCATTCTAATTTAGAACAAGTCAAGATAACCGAAGTTTTTCACTGCAATGGTTTGTTGTTATGCACCACCAAGGACAATACACTCTTGGTTTGGAATCCGTGTTTGGGGGAAACCAAGTGGATCCAACTCAAAGTAGATTACGGGAGAAACGGCTCCAAGTTTTCTCTAGGATATATCCAAAACAACGAATCTTGCCGTAGCTACAAAATCTTGTGGAGTTGGTATAGTTATGATTACAAATCATCACCGCCCCAAATAGTTTTGGGGTTTGAAATATACGAGTTTAGTTCTGATTCATGGAGGGTTCTTGATGACGTCAATCATGACTCCTTACTCAATCACAACTCCATAATAGGAACTGGCGTGTCTCTGAAGGGAAATACTTACTTGCTTGCTACCTTGAAGAAAGGTCTAACTTTTTACTTATGTTCGACTTTACAACAGAGAGATTGAAACGTCTATGCCTTCCGCATTTCCAAGATGTTGGTAACTTGGATCTATCAGTTGTTAGAGAAGAACAACTCGCAGTATTGAATTGGAGCCGTACTACATCAAAGATGGAGATATGGATAACCAATAACATTGATACTGATGCTACATTGTTGTGGAGACTACACTTAGACACTCGCTGTAATTGTGTTCGAATCTTCTCAAGTCTATTAATCGACGAGGAGGAGAAGAAAGTCGTCTTGTGTTGTAATGTTAATGATGATGAGACTAGCAAGAACATGGATATTACATAGAAATCCCTTTCGTACAACCTAATAACATACAGAGGGTTCTAATAAAAAATGGTATTCATCTATTTTCAGTTCTGTTCCCAGTTTGTTTCAAATCCAGTAAGGTAGATTCATAAGATTAATTTGTTTGTGTTGTATAGTTTTGGTTTTGATTGAGCTTTTTTTTTTTAACCAAAAATAAAAATTAATTTGATTCGATGATGACCTGAGGAGCTTTTGATTATAAAGTGACAAACTTTTTATAATTAACGATACTGAATCAGTAAAGATCCAACAATGGCGATGTTGGGGAATTTTCTTCATTTCTCTCCAATGGTGTTAGCCATTTCGACTTCGAAACCATCTCTTCCAAACCAGAGCAAGCGTACCAAAGCCACGCCATCGTCGTTAAAGAATTGTAAAACCATTGACGAACTCAAAATGTTTCATCTTTCGCTCACAAAGCAAGGCCTTGATGATGATGTCTCCGCTATAACTAAGCTTGTAGCACGAAGTTGTGAATTGGGTACACGTGAAAGTTTAAGTTTTGCTAAAGAAGTGTTTGAATACGCAGAGGAGAATGGTGAATCGTATGGAACTTGTTTCATGTACAATTCTTTGATTCGAGGATATGCATCTTCTGGGTTATGTAAAGAAGCTATCTTGTTATTTATTCGAATGATGAATTCTGGGATTTCTCCAGATAAGTACACGTTTCCTTTTGGATTGAGTGTGTGTGCGAAGAGCAGAGATAAAGGTAACGGGATTCAGATTCATGGGTTGATTATTAAGATGGATTATGCGAAGGATTTGTTTGTGCAGAACTCGTTGGTTCATTTTTACGCTGAGTGTGGAGAGCTTGATTGTGCACGTAAGGTGTTTGATGAAATGTCTGAGAGAAATGTTGTTTCTTGGACGAGTATGATTTGTGGGTATGCGAGGCGGGAGTTTGCGAAAGACGCTGTTGATTTGTTTTTCCGGATGGTGAGAGACGAAGATGTGATTCCTAATTCGGTCACAATGGTGTGTGTGATATCGGCTTGTGCTAAGCTAGAGGATCTTGAAACGGGTGAGAAGGTTTATGATTTTATCCGTGATTCGGGGATTGAAGTTAACGACCTTATGATTAGTGCACTGGTCGATATGTACATGAAATGCAATGCTATTGATATAGCGAAACGGCTTTTTGATGAGTATGGTGCTAGTAATTTGGATTTGTGCAATGCAATGGCATCAAATTATGTGCGGCAAGGATTAACGAAGGAGGCTCTAGGTGTCTTGAATCTAATGATGGACTCTGGTATTAGACCTGATAGAATTTCGATGTTGAGTGCGATTTCATCTTGTTCACAGTTGAGGAATATCTTGTGGGGAAAGAGCTGTCATGGGTATGTACTGAGGAATGGGTTTGAAAGTTGGGACAATATATGCAATGCGTTGATTGATATGTACATGAAATGTCATAGGCAAGATACTGCGTTTAGGATCTTTGATCGAATGTCGAATAAGACTGTGGTCACATGGAATTCGATAGTTGCTGGCTATATAGAGAATGGTGAGGTGGATGCAGCCTGGGAAACATTTAACACCATGCCTGAGAAAAACATTGTTTCTTGGAACACGATCATAAGCGCTCTGGTGCAAGAAAATATGTATGAGGAAGCGATTGAAGTTTTCCATTATATGCAAAGCCAAGAGTGTGTCAATGTGGATGGTGTGACAATGATGAGTATTGCATCTGCTTGTGGGCACTTGGGAGCTCTTGATCTAGCAAAATGGATATATTACTACATTGAAAAGAACAGAATTCAGCTTGATGTCAGACTTGGTACAACCTTAGTAGATATGTTTTCTAGGTGTGGGGATCCTGAAAGCGCAATGTCGATTTTCAATAGTTTGACAAACAGAGATGTCTCAGCTTGGACAGCGGCTATAGGAGCAATGGCTATGGCAGGAAACGTTGAGCGAGCAATTGAGCTTTTCAATGAGATGATTGAACAAGGCTTAAAACCAGATGGGGTTGTGTTTATTGGAGCATTGACAGCTTGCTGCCATGGTGGATTGGTCCAACAGGGTAAGGAAATCTTCAATTCAATGGAGAAACTTCATGGAGTTTCTCCAGAAGATGTGCACTATGGATGCATGGTTGATCTGCTAGGTCGAGCAGGATTGTTAGAGGAAGCTCTGCAACTCATAAAGGACATGCCTACGGAGCCAAACGATGTGATTTGGAATTCTCTTTTAGCTGCTTGTCGTGTTCAGGGAAATGTGGAGATGGCAGCTTTTGCAGCTGAGAAGATACAAGTCTTAGCTCCAGAGAGAACTGGGAGCTATGTTCTTCTATCAAATGTCTATGCATCAGCTGGAAGATGGAACGACATGGCAAAAGTGAGACTGAGTATGAAGGAGAAAGGATTACGTAAACCGCCAGGGACTAGTGTAATACAGATTCGAGGTAAGACCCATGAGTTCACATCAGGGGACGAGTCACACCCTGAAATGCGAAAAATAGAAGCAATGCTCGATGAACTTAGTCAAAGAGCGAGTGACTTAGGCCATGTACCTGATCTTAGTAATGTTCTGATGGATGTAGATGAACAAGAGAAGATCTTTATGCTTAGTCGACATAGCGAGAAACTTGCAATGGCCTTTGGGCTCATTAGCTCAAACAAAGGAACAACAATCCGAATAGTCAAGAACCTAAGAGTATGCTCTTATTGTCATTCATTTGCAAAATTTGCATCCAAAGTATACAACAGAGAAATCATTCTAAGAGACAATAACCGGTTTCATTTCATCCGTCAAGGAAAGTGTTCTTGCAGTGACTTCTGGTGATAGCAGAAACAGAACTAAAAGATGAAGAGGAAGATTACGTTGAGACTGCTGCTGCTTCCTCGGTGGATGATCAAAAAGACGATCTGACGAGATCAAAGAGTTTGACGGATGACGATCTCGAAGATCTCAAAGGTTGTTTAGATCTAGGCTTTGGTTTCAGCTATGACGAGATCCCTGAGCTCTGCAACACTTTACCTGCTTTAGAGCTTTGCTATTCAATGAGCCAGAAGTTCTTAGACGATAAGCATAACTGCATAAGTCACCGGAAAATCATTGCCAATTGGAAGATCTCTAGTCCCGGTAAATATCTCATATTTTTCGTCGATTGATTCGGTGATCTAAGTTTGATCTGTTCTGATTTCAATTGTGTAATTGGTTTGTTGCTGAGTGCTAGTGTTAAACAAGAATTTCAGTGATTGGAATGGACATTGAGATATGAAGTCTAAATGTTATCAATTTGTTGTTGTTACAGGTGATAATCCGGATGATGTGAAAGCTAGGCTCAAATACTGGGCACAAGCCATTGCCTGTACTGTCCAATTGTGCAGCTGAATGAATCATTGTCACGTCTGAACTAGGAATACTAGTGTATGAACAATATCTCTTGGACATTGTTAGCGGAGGAGGAGATTTCAGAAAGGCATTGGAAGGTCTGAATTTAACTGAACATCAACAATGATTCTCACTTAATTCCATGTATGTGTAGTAGTAGTATCTAGTCTAATAATTTTCATGAACGGAAATCAAAGGTATCAGTGAATAAAAGCATCAATTTTTTTCTCATTTACATGATGGTCTCAGCATCTGACATCTTAATAGCTGGATTCTTCGCCTTATGCAGTAGTGAGAGCATTCATCTTACTTAACTGGTCATGGTTCTGCGGAGGTAACTTATCTAACTGTGTCTATTAACTGAGTGTGATGCAATATGATTATCCTCTGTGCCATATACCATTTTGTGAATGATTATGTGTTAAGCTACAGTGTAAAGCTTATTACATGTGAGATATGAAAGCTTATTACAGTGTTAAGCAATGTCGATTTTCAATAGTCAAGAACCTAAGTAATGCCAAAAATAGAAGCAATGCTCGACGAAATTAGCCAAAGAGCGAGTTCCTTAGGCCATGTACCTGATCTTAGTAATGCTCTGATGGATGTAGATGAGAAAGAGAAGATCTTTATGCTCAGTCGACACAGCGAGAAACTTGCAGTGGCAAATGGACTCATTAGCTCAAGCAAAGGCACAACAGTCCAAATAGTCAAGAACCTAAGAGTATGCTCTGGTGATTACAGAAACATAAGCAAAAGATGAAGAGGAGGATTCACATTTCATTGATCCGAAAACAAAGTAGATACAAAAAAGATGTTCATCACAATTCAAGAACTTGTTTCAATTTTAGGAAAGATTGGGTCAATGAAAGAGTGATACATAGGATCAGATCCCCAGAGACTAGCAATGTGAAGATGAGAAGAAGTGATTCGATGTATCTCCTCAACAAGCCAGATGGTAGCTTCAGCTTTTGAAGGATGAAAGATTGAATCCAAACTCTGTTCTTCAGAATCAGTACCGAATCGTGATTGATCCCATCGTTGTAAGAGAACATTCGTGAGGTAATGTAGAGGCTGACCATAAAGCTGTTTCATTGAGATGCTTAAACCAACCCAGCTAGTGAACGGAATCAACGAGCCACGATTCGTCGGGATTGGTACTTGCTTCATATACTCTTGATACATCTCTGCTCTTCTCAGCAACGAACCAGACTCAAAGACAGAGTCTTTTTTAGAAAAAATCAAAACTTTCGGGTCAAAAATTGAGTCTTTGTTAGCAAAAATCAAAACTTTCGGGTCAAAAATGGAAAAATCGTGTTACCTTCATCAGCGACGTCTCTGTGAGAATTATCGAGCGGTGAAAAGCCATCGCTGATCTCAGCATCGACGTCAGATGAACCGGAATCAGCTGATGGTCGTAGTTCCAATGTCATTGAGCTTTGCATGGTCACAAACGCGCCGTTAGATTTTGACGGCGTAGACAGTGATATGTACGACGACGATGACTACACGAGGGCTCCTTAAAATTAGGGTTTTTAAAGAAGAAGACGAAGAGGATGACTTTTACACGTGTCAGTAAAATCGTCACTTGTCAGTTGTGGGGTAAACCAAAAAAATCTAAAATTAAATAAAATCGAACCGGGTTTGTACCCATTAACGACCCGACCCGACCCGACACAACGGAGCAAGCTTTAGGTCAAAAAGATTCGAACTTTGATCGGAAAAACAGAGACAAATCTGCATCAGATTCAAACGGAACAAAAATGCTCTCTAAGCTTAGGATTAGTAAGCTTGTTTCGTATACGTTACCTCGGAGAATCTTCCAACGGAGGTTTCTGGTAACGAACAACGCTTTCTCCAACACTGAGGAGGAGTCGCCGGTTGTTGCCGCAGAGTCACCGGAGCTTCCGTCTTGGATTAAAGACTTTCTATCAAACAAGCTTTCTTCTACGAGTTCGGTTACCAAAGACGATGAAGATTTCGTTATCCCTTCTTTGGCGAATTGGGTCGAGAGCCAGAAGTTTAGTCGTGAAGAAGTTTCAAATGGAAATGTGATGAAGAAACCAGTGGAAGATATTGATAAAGTCTGCGAATTTTTGAATAAGAAGGACGCGTCTCATGGGGATGTTGTTAAAGAGTTGAGTGGATGTGATGTGGTGGTTACAGAGAGTTTGGTTTTGCAAGTTCTAAGAAGGTTTAGTAATGGATGGAATCAAGCTTATGGGTTTTTCATTTGGGCAAAATCACAAACAGGTTATATGCATTCAGGTCAGAGTTATAATGCAATGGTTGATGTGTTGGGGAAATGTAGGAATTTTGATTTGATGTGGGAAGTAGTTGATGAGATGAAGAAGAGTGAAGAATCTGGACTTGTTACGCTAGATACGATGAGTAAGGTTATGAGGAGATTGGCGAAGTCTGGGAAATATAGTGAAGCTGTTGATGCTTTTTTAGGGATGGAGAAGAGTTATGGTGTGAAAACAGATACTAATGCTATGAACAGTTTGATGGATGCACTTGTGAAAGAGAATAGTATAGAGCATGCTCATGAAGTTTTTCTGAAGCTTTTCGATACAATTAAGCCGGATGCTAGGACATTCAACATTTTGATTCACGGGTTTTGTAAAGCTCGGAAATTTGATGATGCTAGGACGATGATGGATTTGATGAAGGTTACTGAGTTTAGTCCTGATGTTGTTACTTACACAAGCTTTGTGGAAGGTTATTGCAGGGAAGGAGATTTTAGGAGAGTTAATGAGATGTTGGAAGAGATGCGAGAGAACGGGTGTAATCCTAATGTTGTGACTTATACGATTGTGATGCATGCTTTGGGTAAATCTAAACAAGTATCTGAAGCTTTAGGAGTTTATGAGAAGATGAAAGAAGGTGGTTGTGTTCCTGATGCTAAGTTTTATAGCTCATTGATACATATTTTGTCGAAGACTGGTAGGTTTAAGGATGCAGCGGAGATATTCGAGGACATGACGCATCAAGGAGTTCCTCGTGATGTTTTGGTCTACAATACCATGATTTCCGCTGCGCTTCATCACTCACGAGATGAGATGGCTCTACGTTTGCTTAAAAGGATGGAGGATGAGGAGGAGGAATCGTGCAGTCCAAACGTTGAGACTTATGCTCCATTGCTAAAGATGTGTTGCCATAAGAAGAAAATGAAGCTACTTGGAATCCTGTTGCATCACATGGTGAAAAACGATGTCAGCATCGATGTGTCGACATATATTCTTCTCATTAGAGGGTTGTGTATGAGCGGGAAAGTTGAAGAAGCTTGCTTGTTCTTCGAAGAAGCAGTACGGAAAGGAATGGTTCCTAGAGATAGCACTTGCAAAATGTTGGTTGAGGAGCTTGAGAAGAAAAACATGGCAGAAGCAAAACTCAAGATCCAGAGTTTGGTTCAATCGAAAACAATGACCGATTCTCATAGTCCTTTATCTGTTTCGTAGAGATTAAGAGTTTGGAGCCATGGCTCAAAAGTTTTGTTTTTTTCTCTGTTGAATGATAATCTTTATACTCTGTTAGATGAAATGAATTATGTAATGTTTGATGAAGCAAATTAATTTGTCACAAGTTTTCATGCCTTAGATCCGGTTTATAAATGAGTAATCGGAACCAATTTGGACCCGGTACGATCCGGTTTAGTATAAAGCAGGAAAAGGGTTTTGCAAAGTCGAAGCCTTTAAAACTTGTTTCTTCTTCTTCTTCTTTGCGCCGGCGTTTCACTATCTCTCTCTAAAACCCTTTCCAAGCAAAAGCTTCTTCAATCTTCTTCGTAGTTAACAGTAAGTTCTCTTCTATTCCTTCTCAAAGGGTTTGTTTCAATCTTAGTGTTCATCGTCTTACGAATCTCCAAGTAACATAAATTGATAAACCCTAATTTTGTTCACGGTTATAATCTTAAGTTCTTAGATAAAGAATCGAACTTTGTTGTCATATAGAAGGTAATGGAACCATTTATGGTGTCGTTCGTTGCGTTGGTGATTCGCATATATATTTTTTTAACCCAAATGCTTAAAAGTTTGAATTTTTTGATTCTGAGTCAAGTTTTGTTGTTGTTGTTGTTGTTGTTTGAGTAGATGTCGCTGGAAGAGGATATAGTATCAGATGATGAGATGAACATGATTGATGAGGATAGTGCTACTGACTCTGAAGCGGAATCGCTTTCGGATTCGGATACAGAGAACGAGATAACGGAGAAATTGGCTGAGCCTACGAAGACTGCTGTATACAACAGAGATGGGTTGCTTGATAAACTTCAAGATATTAGCTGGCCTGAAGATGTTGATTGGACTCATAAGCTTACTGTTGAGATTGATCAGGGACAAGCTGTGGATGTGAACGATGACCTTGCGAGGGAGATGGCCTTCTATACTCAAGCTCTTGAAGGGACGAGAGAAGCGTTTGGGAAACTCAATGAAATGGGTGTGAATTTCCTCAGGCCGGCGAATTACTATGCTGAGATGGTGAAATCGGATATTCATATGGAGAAAGTGAAGTCTCGGCTTTTGCATGAGAAGAAACAGATTGAGGAGTCTGAAGAGAGGAGGAAGGCTAGGGATAATAAGAGAATGGCTAAGGAAGTACAGTCTCAGAAGATGAAGGAACGTGCGAAGCAGAAGAAGGATGACATTGAGTCTGTGAAGAAGTGGAGGAAACAGAGGCAGCAGAGTGGGTTTAGTGATGAAGCGGGTGCGCCTGAACTTGATTTCGAAAGCGGAAAGAGTTTCCAGAGGGGAGGAGGTAAGAAAAGACCAGGTGTTTCTCCCGGGGATCGATCAGGAGGCAAAGGAAGGCCTACTTCGAGGATGAGCAACAAAAAGAGGGAGTTTCGCGATTCAAAGTTTGGTCATGGTGGTAGGAAGGGTTTGAGCAAGCAGAACACAGCAGAGACAACGAATGATTTCAGGGGCGGATTTCGTGGTGGAAGAGCCAGCGGAAACAACAAGAGGCAGAAGAGGTAAAAGGTTTGATTATCTAAACCCACTTCAAAACTACTATAAACTATTTGTCTTTTGGGTTTTTTTAAGAACATGTATTTTGTTTTGGAAACACTGTGGTAAGGGTTTTAGAACCAATATCTTTAGTTACAATTTTGTACTAGTGATTACTTGAATTAACAAAGGCCAATGTGTTTTCAAAGATTCGAGAGTTAGAAAGAACTTAGCTACCAATAATGATTCAGCTACTTAAGTCAGCACTCACTGACCACTGCTTGTTGAAAGAAGGTTCTGCCATGGATTTAAAGGTTACTTGGGCCGTCTCTTTCTTAGAACATTCCTTTTTCTTCCTCCCTCGCATTCTCTGAGGATTGGCTGACTCCTTATGGGCTGGTTTGTAGAAACTTGTATCAGCTCGCGTACCTCCAAACCTGGCTCATTAGATGCTTCTTCAGCTGTGACTGTGACTCTTCTACCTTGCCACTTTTATGAATCTTGGGGAGTTCATAAATCATAACCATAGGGTTCTAATTTCCAAAGCCACTTTTTCCTCAAAAATATTCAGAAATTTGCAACTACATTACCCACAAAGTCCGAACCAAACCTAGTCTTTTACAAGATTATAGCTAGTATATATAAGAAAACCATGAAGTCTCATATAGTCAAACACTTGAAACATATAATAGAAATACAACA